ACAATACTAAAAGATTATAAAAGAGCATTGTCACTTGACTGGTACAGAACACCAATTACCATTTTCTTGTGGACAGTATGGGAGAATGTGGGGTTGATGGCGAAAGTGTATTTATGACTTTGCAATTGTGATGTTATGAATAGCTTATTTATGCGAGGTGACCACCACCCAGTAAAAGAACTTAATTCTAGTTGTGGTGACCACCCAGTCTTAAAGCGGGTTCTAACTGTAATTTATGCTCTTTTCTTGCTAGGCCGGACCTAACTGTATTTGTGCGGCCCATTAAATCCAAATCAACTTTTAAAAATTAGAAATTTTTTCTTTGGTATTTTTCTTATATTAATCCTCTAAAATGAGAAAATATTAAATAAGCTTTCGTACAGATATAATAATACATAATTAAAAATTATCATGTGATTATTATCATATCATATTAAAAAAATATGGTTCTTATATATTCACATGACAATTTAACGTTTTAATTATATATCATGTTATAATTTATTAAGAAAGAAAATTTGTTTAATAATTTTTTTATTAAAAATATACCTATTATAACCAAAACTCGACATTTTGCGTAATTAGGTTTCAATTGACATGGATTATGTAATTAATAAGATTCGGTGAACCGAATGCTTTATTTAAACCCATGGTAGTGTTGACTTTTTCTCCTTGTCAATTATTAAAAAGCAATGCTATTAATTACTTTATTATTTAATAAACTATTAATTATAAAAAAAGAAAAAATAAATAATAGCAAAATAAGGGAAATTAGATAATCACATTGAGGTTTGATAAAAAATAAAATATTTTCACTTATCATATTTTTAAATTATCATATGTCAATTTTAATAATTTTAATTATTTATATAAATAATTTATAAAATTATATGTACTAGTATATGCTTATAAAACTTTTCATTGAAGAAAATAACCATATTTATTTATCTTATTTTTAAATTATTATTGTAAACATTTTTTATATTAATAAGATTTATCAATTATCAAATAAGAACTTTATTTTTTAATTATTTACACCTTAAATTTTACACTTTAGAAATAATTAGTCTCATATATAAATTATAAAATCAATATTATTTTTTACCCATGTGACAATAAATCCTAATATATATTTAGAATAATACAAATAATAATCAAATGTCCCAACAAGATCATAAGGATGGAAAACAACAAACTTTTAATAATCGAAATTTGGAGTTATTAAATATAAATTGGAATCTTTAATTAATAAATAATTATAATTAAGTGGTAAAAGTTAAACATTCTTAATTTTTAGATTCCAAGTTATTGGATGACAATGACATTTGAGTGACAACATTATCCTAGTCATATCCCACCAAGGGTGTAGGCTCCATTATTTCTTAACTAGAAAAGGAAACTATACAGAAGTACAAGATATTCTATTCTATATCTTTGTTGTACTGGCCAAATCATCTGACCCTGCATCTACAGCACTCTACACTACTAAATACTAAACAGGATCTAGCTATCTTAAGTAACCAAACAGAGATTAATCCTATATCCTTCTTGCAAATCAAGATTAAAGCCTATTTCAACTAATGAAGGCTTTGTCATCCACTTCATCTCCCACAATTCTTTTCCAAAACCAGTGCTCCCTCCACACTTTCTCCATTTTCTCAATGGGCAAGTTCTTGGTCTCTGGCAACAAGAAGTACACAAATGTGGTCATCACCGCCACCCATCCCCCGAAAAAGAAGAAAATCCCTGATTTCATGTGGCAAAGCATGGCTAGAAAAGTCTGTCCAACAAGGAAACAGAAGAAAAAGCTGACTGCTACTGTAATGCTTTGGCCTGCTGATCGAATCTCTAATGGATAAATCTCACTAGGGAATAACCATCCCAGAGGGCCCCAAGACAATCCAAACCCGGAAACATATATGCATACCAAAACCAAAATCGAGTAAGCACTGGCTTTGCTCAATCCTCCATGATCCCCTAGGAAAGCTGTCATCAGCCCTCCGATCGTTATTTGTGTCGCGAGCATTAGAATTCCCCCAATCATAAACAGTACTCTTCGCCCATGCTTATCCACTACAAACATAGATATGAATATACAAGAAGTACTGACAAGGCGAATCACAACTGCAGACAAGAGTGAAGAACTTTCATGTAGGCCAATTGTCCTGAAAAGTATTGGAGCATAGAATGTGATGACGCTGATCCCCGTCATTTGTGCGAAAAATGGTATAGCTGCTGCCATGACCACTTGAGGCCTATACTTTCCTTGTGTGATTTTCTTAAATGGGTTGTTGATTGTTTTCGACATTGAGCTTGCTTGGATGAGATCATCAAGCTCTGCTTGCACGTTAATGGTGCCCCTTATACGCTGAAGCACACGTTTGGCCTTCTCGTGGTCGTTGGTAGTCTGAATTAAACTGTTCGGTGTGTCTGGGAGAATAAGTGCACCTAGTGTCAGGATTGATGCAGGGACTGCGGCCAGGGAGAGGGAGATACGCCAACCCCAACCGCCCTCGATCTTCTCGGTTCCGAAATTGATGATGTTAGCTATGAGTACTCCAAAGCCAATTCCACATTCGAAGATAATGTTCATCGCTCCTCTGTGTGTTGGTAGCGCCATTTCAGAGATGTAGAGTGGGATTGACTGCAAAGAAAATAAATTGCAGCATAAAAACTAGTAACAATTTTTAGCACTAAATTCTGTCACAATCTTGAACTAACAGGAATTGATCATTTGGCATGCTTAAATTAGTGTTTCTGGAGCTTATGGTCAGACTGGTAAAAAATTAATTAGTCTTTCCCTCATGATTGGACTACAACAAATAGGGGAGGACCATGTTCTTGACAAGTCAATGGAAGACTATTTGAGGGCCATTTCCTTTGTTAGGGAACTTCTTTTTCCCAGTTTTAACTTACGAAGGCCTGATATTACTGCATTTTACTCATTTCTACCCTCCTTATTGCAGTGTTTACTATGAATTTAGGATGTAAATTTGCTACCAAACTTATTGTTCAAGTCCATTTTGCAGAAGATTTTGCAAAAGGAAGAAGAAATACCCAAAAGAAAAAAAGAAGAAGAGGAAATAGATTAGAATACCTGGTTTGCAAAGCCAAGTCCAATGCCAAGAAAAACACGCCCAAATACAAGCATGTACACGTTAGAAGCAGCACCACCTAGTGCTGAACCAGCAAGGACTACAACGCCTGCTACAAGCATGGATGCCTTTCGTCCAAAGGCCCTGGTCACAGGTGATGCAAAGAAAGAAGCAATAAGGCCAGCTATGTAGAGTGAAGATGTAAACAAGGTCAACAGCTGGCTATCATATTTGCAGTAATTGCTAATCTTGGTATTTTCTTTCATCCGTCGGTACACATTTGGGAAGAACTTCTTGAGAAAAGGGTCCATGGAGGTCACTCCACCTTAAATCGCAGTTACATAAATAATGTTAATGGCTTAATTTATACATGAGATCATCTGAATTTCACTTTATACCAAGAGCAATAAACTTATTTTATTCTTTAAAATCAGTATGCATATATATATATATATATATATATGTATATTTTCAGGAATATTTGCAGTGAAGATTAGTTTGAGACAGACCTGAAACTCCAAGGTCATAGCCAAAGATGAGTCCTCCGGAGGCAGCCATCACGCATGACAGAACAACGAGAAGGGTGATCCTGCCATTGTATTGCCCTCGTTCAGCTGTTATTGCGGATGCAACCGCCATAGCTGCAACCTCCCAGGTGACCACTTATCCCAATTACACAAGAAAGAAAGACCCCTTTATATTTAATATACGGATAACTGTAGTTGATTATCTTTTGCAAGCCACTGTGGTCACCTTTTGTCTCTCAAGTGAGACTGTTCATAATATCATCACTTTAAAAAAAAAAAAAGTAGCTGATTATGTGAAAAGAGCATTATTTTATTGGTCGACTAGTGGAAGATTAGCTACGGAATTTCTCTACTTTCGTGTGGTCCAAAATGAATCATGTGGAGTCTGACTGTCTTTGAGTTACAGTGGGATTGCATACCACTGCATAGTACGGGCTTTAATGTCACAGCCAAAGATCAAAATTGCTTGGTGTGGGTGTGACTTCCTTGAGGCAAGCTGAAAAAGTAGAAGCCCGGCACAAGAAATATTTCAACTTCTCATTTTTCTTTCGCCATTTATAGCTTTAATTTGACATTTAAGAAAATCTTTGGCATTCCCATGCAGGACCACTTCCGAAGACTCTTGACTGTCCTGACATTGATTTTAATTACCCAAGCTCAAGTTTTCCCTGGCAGGTGAATGCTTCTTTATCATACTGCTATCATTTCCAGGAAGTCGGCATACATATACAGATATAAGTACATATCAATTTAAATTGAAAGCTAATAAGTGCTGGGGCAGAGACATGGAAATGAAATTGAAGGCTAAATTTGGATCACAGTTTCAGCACTTAGGGCGTCTACAATCAATACTAACCTTCATTGGCTCCGGCCTCTACAATTCAAAACAAATTACTAATAACACTTTGGATTGATTTGACTGCTATATTTATTATTTGATTTTTACTCTTAAGAATTTCGATTCTTTTATCTAAGTAAAGCTTTAGTTGACAAGTGCTTCGTGGTCCTCTCATTAAAGAACAAACCAACAATTTGGCTTCATGATCAATCATTCATATAAGAATGTAGTTCTGTTCATCAAAGTCTTAGGGATGCAACTTGGATTGGAGTCATGATGCGTGAAAGAAGATGGATGTTGGATTGAAAATTCTAAATGATCATCAAAGTGCTACCCTACCCGGTGACTGGCTTATGAGTTGTTTCCTATATTGCCCACATCTTTTGAGGAACAGCCAGGCTATTTCACATCAGTTTGCTCTTTCGACAGATGATGATGCATGTATTAGAAAAAAGAAAGGTGAATTTTTTCATTCCCATACAGAAAACAAGCTAGTCGTCAACAGTTACAATTAATACCTTTTTAATGGAACTTGGCGGTTGTTGTCACATTTTCTTGATGTTATTATTAATTTGAAGACTGCAAGCTTGCATACAGACCAGCAGAATAACCACTTCAAAGTAACCTTGTTGTATTCAAATCTCATCACTGGACCTAAGCCTAAGTGGTATGTTCTACTATAATTTCGAGTTACCATGCTATGGCTCTGCATATATAATGAAGCAACTGTGGCTGGAATATAACTCCACAGAAATATTAATTTCTTCTTGCTAGATATATAATGAGAATGCAACTTTAATCAAATTTAACATCTTGCCCCCTGTGTGTAAACCTTCTCATCCACCTCTCCAACAATCCTTTTCCAGAACCAGTGCTCCCTCCATACATTTTCCATTTGCTCAATTGGCACATTTTTAGTCTCTGGCAAGAAAAAGTATACAAATGCAGTCATCAACACCACCCATCCTCCGAAAAAGAAGAAAATCCCTGACTTGAAGTGGCAGAGCATAGATAGAAAAGTTTGTGCAATGATGAAAGTGAATAGAAAGCCCACTGCTACTGTAATACTTTGCCCGGCTGATCTAATCTCCAAAGGAAAAATCTCACTAGGAACTAACCATCCCAACGGACCCCATGACCATGCAAAACCAGCAACATATACACAAATTAAAGCTAAAACTAAGTAAGCGTATCCTTTGCTTAGTCCACCATGATCCCCTAGCAAAGCTGCCATAATTCCTCCAATAATTATTTGTGTCACAAGCATTTGGATTCCCCCAATCATAAACAAGGCCCTTCGGCCAAGCTTATCGACTGCAAGCATTGATATGAATGTAGCAGTAGTACCAACAAGGCCAGTCACAACTGCAGACATGAGTGAAGCACTTTCACCTTGCCCAATTGTCCTGAACAGGATTGGAGCATAGAATGTAATGACATTTATGCCTGTCACTTGCTGGAAAAATGGTAAAGCTATTGCCATTACCAATTGAGGCCTGTATTTTCTTTGTATAATTTTCTGAAATGGGTGGTTGGTTGTTTTTGAAATTGAGCTTGCTTTGATGAGATCGTCAAGTTCTGCTTGGACATCAGCGGTGCCTCGTATGCGTTGCAGCACGCTTTTCACCTTTTGGTGGTTATTGCTGTTCTGGATTAAGCTGTTGGGTGTTTCAGGGAGAAGAAGAGCTCCTATTGTCAGGAATGAGGCCGGGAGTGCTGCCAATGCCAGGGAGATACGCCAACCCCATCCACCTTCAATCTTTTCGGTGCCAAAATTTATAATGTTAGCTGAAAGGACTCCAATGCCAACACCGCATTGGAAGCCAATGTTCATTGCTCCTCTGTGTCTGGGAAGTGCCATTTCAGAGATGTATAACGGGACTGACTGTAAAACAAATGCATATTAGAGCATAAACAATAGATCCCAGAAATTAGCATATGATTTTGCACAAGAAAGAAGGAAAATTGAATTTATCATGCGTACTTGGTTTGCAAATCCAACCCCAACCCCAAGCAAGACACGACCAAATATCAACATGTACACATTAAAAGCTGCACCACCAAGGGCTGAACCAGCAAGGAATGCAGCTCCTCCTATAAGGATCGATGGCTTGCGTCCAAAGGCTCTGGTCACAGGTGATGCGAAGAAAGACGAAATAAGGCCGGCTATGTAGAGTGAAGATGTAAATGAAGTCAACAGTTGGCTATCAAATTTACAGTAATTGCTAATCTTGGTGTCTTCTTTCATCTGTGTGTAAACGTTTGGAAAGAACTTCTTGAGAAAAGGCTCCATAGATGTCACTCCACCTTTACAATCACATAATTACTTGATGAGATCAGTTGAATTTTCTATAGCTGAAGTATCAATATATTTTCAAACTCTAAAATTTATCTACTCCTGTTATTTTTGCTATAGAATATTTCAACTGCTTATGAAGTTGTTCCAAACATTCTGTTTCAAGAAAAAGAAAAGGTGAGTTTCCATATATGTACAAGGAAATAGACCTTAGCCTACGGAGAGTGTTTCAATACCCAGTACGGCAAAGCATGATTTGACAAACTTTTATTTTTAAGACAAAAAGGACAAAGTCAACTGCAAAAACATCATCCAAATGTTACTACAAAAGGCTCAACTATTTTAAAGTGATTGACAGTTTATAATCGGCAAGACTGATAGTGCAGATGAGGAAAACATATTGCATACTGATTGATTAAAAAGAAAAAAAAAAAGAAGTAAATAACCTGAAATTCCAAGATCATAACCAAAGATAATTCCTCCTGTGGCAGCCATCATACATGACAGAACAACAAGAAGGGTCATCCTGCCATTGTACTGCCCACCTTCACTTGTTATTGCTAACCCAGCCGCCATAGCTCAATTCCCCAAAGCTCACTGACGAACAAATGTGAGGGATATAGTTTACTTTGTCAGATTATAGACAATGGAAGACTTAAAATGAGCGGTCTTCCTTGACTCGTAAGTAGAGCGCAGCCATCTGTCATGAATCATGTCGTTTTCTTTGAATTTTGTAGGAGCATGTCGGTTGAAAGGTTGAACTTGTAGTTTAAATCATTTAACAGAACATGGACTTTGCGTATGACCAGCAATTTATGATGTGATGGCCCTTCGCTTTGCAGATATGCAAGAATTTTCTTTCCAACGTAACCCAAAAATTTAACCAGCAGCAAGCACTTCTAAGCAGTATATTTAAGCTATTCCTGTTATGTAAAAAAGCTTGTAGCAAGAGATTCATGGATTTAATTTCCCTCCCTATCAGCCATTGAGTTAGGCTAGAATACAAACAAGTTTTCTTCCGTACAAAACATATTCGTGATCCATTAAGGACTAGAGGGAACGTAAGATCCAGTTGTTAAAACCTTGTTTTTAAGACCAAGACTGGATACAGAGTTCTCTTTGTAATTAACTATTGAGCACATTAACAGTTTATCATTTTCAAAAGAAAAATTAAACCCTAAGAACCAGTAAGTTGAGCATTGTTCTGCACGAATTCGAACTCAGAATTAGTATTTATGGTTAAAAGGTTTAAGAAATCTTTTATGTTGACTTTCGGAAATGCATTGATCTGCATATATACAAACGGAATCAACAACTAAATAAAAGGTTCATGCATATAAGTAATCTAAGATCATGATGTGTTTCTAGTTCCAATGCTTACCACAGAAACCTCAATTAAACCAAATGCCAAGGGCCTTTCACATTGTAACTGCAATTGCAGTTTTATCATCTTTAACCTTTGCAAACTCAGCATCATCCAATCCTTTTTAAGTCCTGCAACTCCTCCAGGCACTTTTGATCCAATGTCCTTGTTTAGCTTACAACTTGACTGCTGAAGACATCTGATCAAGGGAGTTCTATGTCTTTTGCATAGTTTTGCACTTGACTGCTGCAGACACTTTACTAGGAGAGTGAAAGAATACATACTTTTACATGTTGCAATTCACAACAAATCCTCATCAATATTACGTACGGGGGGAAACAACAAGAACTGGAAATCAGAAATATGTGTCCAGTTACATAAAATTACTTGCTCCACTTGCAATACAAATAAGAAAAGAAACACAAACAACATTGTTGGTTCATATTATCAAGCATCATCCCCAGCAATAGTTTTTAGACATATATATATATATATATATATATTTGAAAATTAATAGTTTTTAGATATATAAACTAGAAATTAATATTCATACTTACATCTGATCTTCTGGCCAACAGAATTTGACTTCCAAACCGATTGAATTCTCACCATATTCTATAGAAACAGAGGCCTGGCTAGGAATTATTAGCAGAGCAAGAAATTAATGGTCCTTAACCTAACAAGAAGAAAATACAGAACAATTCCTTCATACATTTTAAGACAAGAATGGAAAGAGAAAATAGCAAAGCTAAAGGACACAGGTTTGAAGGCAATCAAACCGATGATGTTTGAATATGTATAAAGGGTGGAACTAAGTAAAATGCTCATAATAATTCATAAATAACATCAATACGATTCCTTGAATTAAACAATCTGGAAAAACATAATCAACAAGCAAGAACATCAACTAAACAGCTAAATGGCAAAGTACCTTGTCGTCGTTCCTGGTTGAAGATTTTGTTCCATCCTTCTCAGAAATACATTTTCCTGAGCTACCATTTTCTTAAGTTCCAACTTCTTTGAAGACAACCGATCACCACTTTTACTGCTGGCATTTAACATCTGTAATGACTGCTTTAGTGATCTTGCCTTTGAGGCAGTTGCAGTGCCATTTTCTTTCCCAGTTTCAACTACTTCTGCCTGAGTTTTATCCTCCTTTGAAATCAGAGCAGTCACCTTTTCCCCTAAAGCATGTATTTTGTTTTGCTTCTGAATCACTTATTCCTTCAGATGCCTTTGTGAAGGCATCATCAACTATAGGAATGATCTCCTTAATCATGCTGTCCTTCCTCTAGGGCTGGGCATCAGCGACACTCCCACTAGGTATTGAGGAAGTCAGTCAGTTCATCCTCCGTTGCTTTACGTGAGGAAGGTCAAATAATTGTCTCTTTATGACTTTGCAAGTATACAGCCCCATCAGTGGGCAGGTCCTCATGCAACGAACCAGGGGCATCCCTGCTGTCTTTTTTATGATCTGACATGGTCTCAACTTCCTTCTCATAAACAGAAGGTTCTGTAGAGTCCAAGGACAGTCGAATGTCTGTCTCTTTTTTATTTTGCAAGGACACAGCCGCATAAATGGGAAGGACCTCATGTGATGCGCCAGGGGCATCCTTGCTGTCCTTGTTATGGTCTGGCAGGGTCTCAGCTTCCTTCTGACAAATATACAAAATTTCAGAAGGTTTTGTAGATTCCAAATTAGAAGGTTAAATACCTGTCCCCTTTTTATTCTGCAAGGATGCAGTCCCATCAATGGACAGGTCCTCAAGCGATAAACTAGGGAGATCCTTGCTCTTATCATGGTCTGGCACATTCTCAAATTCCTTCTCATTAATTTACAAATTTTCCAAAGGTTCTGTAGAGAGCAAATTAGGTTTGTCAATATGTTCTTAGTACCTTACTTACATTCAGAATAGACCACCTTCTCAGTACCCAAATCCTCTGGTTCAACAACACTTGTATCAACTTTTTTGGGCTTATCAGCTCTTTCTTCCTTAAGGGGAGTCTAAATCTGCCAATGAGTCATCATTCCTCTTCTGCATAACAACACCACTAATAACCAACATCGGAGATTTTATCATTTGCAAGATCAACTTGTTTAGTGGAACCTGCTTCTTTGGGAATCTCTTTATCCTCCTGGCAGAGAATATAATCATTTATAAGTCTTAAACTCTAAGAACAAATATTGATTAACAGGAAGAAAAATAACTCCTGCAAAACAGAAGTAGATAGATAGGTAATAGAGACCTAAATAGACAGATAGTTAACAATTGTTTACAAGAACAAAATGTGCGGGGCTGCCCTTTTTCAAAGATGACCCTCTAGGCTTGTCATTAGCCTACAGCGATTTAATGAAGGTATAAAATAAAGAGACCAAATCTGCTCAAAAGCCATTGCAAAGTATTAGCAAATGTGTCCCCACCAGCCAACATATGACGTTTTGAGGGAACAACATGCACAAGGGAATAACACAAAGCTTTGAAACTTGGAAAATTAAGTAGTGCAAAATTATTTCCCACACCTGAAGAGCGGACATGCTTACAGAACCGCTGCACTAAGTGATTAGAGTCCTCAAAAAGAAAAGAGATATTAGATACCACTGAGATGCTTACTTTATGGTCATTAGTAGTGGCATCATTCTGCTCAACAGCTCCAGATGCCTTTTGGCATATAGGAGCAACTACGCTACAATAACAAGTAAGATTGGGAAGAGTAACTCCATAGAGATGCTTTCACTTTCTTTCAGGACATGGATCATAAACATCTCCATGTATGAAAAGATATTCTCTGGGTGATAATCCCTGAAAAACAACAGCCAAATCACCAGAACATAATGATTTTGATTGTACTTGCACATAAGAACTGCTTTTTTAATAAATACAACAACAACCAAGCCTTTCTTCCTATGTTGGATTGACGATATATTTCCATTATGTTCTCTAGGGAATTTGGGATGGGTATTACATATAAAGGTTAACAAGAGAAGGCAATTCTCAGAAGATGTCAGTACCTCACTGCTTTATAGAAATTTTGGAACATTTCAATGATGATTGCATCACAATCAAGATCCAGCATCACTGAACATAACCTGACCCTGGCAAGAATCTCAAGACTCGAGGTCATCTTAATGTATGA